GGCTCACAGCAGGTGCCGGGGCCGCCTTCCCACCGGCGGGAGTTGAGGCCCGGAACCCGCTCTCCCCCCCTTAACCCAGACCCGGGGGCAGCCCCCGGGGTTACGGTGACCCAGGAGAGCGCGCAGGGTACAAGAAACGCGCAAAAACTCTCTTTTCTGCCCAGGTTTTGCAGCCCGAGCGTGCCCCGAGGTGCGGGGCAGGAGCTGAGGCCGCCTCAGGACAGCGAAAGGGCAGAGACACAGCGACCGAGCAAAGGTCACGTACTCCCCGAGACAGTTGTCCCCGACCTTTCACACTAACTGAAGGAGGGGTAACGCTGGCTGCGGTCAAAGATGGGCGAGTACCTGTCAAGCGGAGGGGGTTCTAGAGCCTCCTTCAGCCACGCACTCTGTCAAGAGAGACTTCTACCTCACTAACGTACCTATAAAAACATGCACTTTAGGTAATGGTGATTCCCGAAAGATTTGCAGATGAGCCATTTCATGTCATCCACTGACAAGAAGAGACGGCAGTATATCAAATTAAGGATTTTAGGAATAAATTTTGTAAGGCACTTAAGAGAAACCGGTAGCAGAGAAACAGAGTTCATGCAAAAATGAGAGTACACAGCAGATACGTACATGGTAAACTTCATTTGAACTTGTTTACAAAATTGACAAAAAAAATATCACCTTGTAAACTTATTCACATTTGTTGGAGCTCACAGAACGGGTTATACTCGCATGCTGAAATGAAGATTGTCAAGCTTCGTCTCACCCAGGATGACACCCAAGTGCGTTGACCCTCACAGCAGGAACCACCTCGGTATGGAACGAGAGTTAAAGCTTGTGCGGGGAGTGAGTTTCTCTAGCGATTGCGCACCACTGGGGAAAGCGCTGGCTCCGATGGCCGGCGCTCCCTCACGCAACAGGAGCACCAGCACGGTCAGTTCCCTCCCGAGAGCTGGATGTTATTTGAAAGCAGTGATGAACTTTGGGCGTCACCTCACCGAGCGTCATCCACAAAGGTCATCGATTGCACCAGAAAAGGAAGCGGTGGAGAAAAAGATGGGGTTTATAAAGTGTTATGTAATACTTTGTCGTTTCCTGAAATTTGCCCTATATTCAAAGGCCTCAAAAG